GTGGTCATGTTGACGATGGAGCAGATGAGGAAGCCCAATGTTTGGAAACAGTCAGCTATACTGATGCGGGTGGTTGTTTGGAGGAAGAGAAGGAGGATGTTGAGGACGTTTTGGATGTTGCACCTCTTGTAGGCATCCTGGCACGACAACACCCAAATGAGGATGTTCATTTTTTGAATGTGAATCCAAAAAAGTTGTACAGCTTGGTTATTCCGTTTAACCCTCCTTGGAGGTAATGAATTTTATAATTGTTATTTTTTGAAGAATTTTTTTGTTCGAAGGGTTGTTTCTGAAATTTGTGGTCAAACATTTTGCACCCAGGAGTTTTATTCTTTTGGACCTAGGAAGCAGCTTGGCAACATAGTAATAATGAAATTTAGTATGGTTATTGTTGTTATAGTTTATATGTTGGTTGAATTATGTTTTATTAAGAAATTGTTGGTTTTGTAGGGGATTTTGTTTGCTACAATCGTGTTCATGTTATTTGAAAGGAGTATTGGAGTAGTGAAAAGAATATGTTTTAGTCCGTTATATGCGGTTGGTTAAAATAGTAGTCATTTTATGTTGTAAATATTGTATTGACATGAGAAATGAAAGTTAACTATGTGATTTTCTTGCAGACCCATGTTTTAATTGACTTAAGAAAAAAAAAGATTAATCGCAAAGTTTGTACATTGAATGAGTACTCTAACTACTTACAGTACGATATCATTCGATTTGATGACATTTTTAATGCTGAATTTGTTGGTGTAATCAGATTTCATACAATGTACTTTGAGACTATGTTGATGCTTTTTTGTACATTTCTTGACACATTTTATTTTTTGTAGTTGTTTGTCCCAATTATCCATGACGGTCATGGGTGGTGCTACGTTGTGAAGATTTCATCACTACAAATGTTTGCACATGACTCTTTTGGGCACAAAAGAAAAGAACGAAAAAAGACTGACAATGTTATTGTATGTGTAGTAATTGATGTCTACTTTGTAATTATAAATTTGTTTAGTAGTTTGGATAGTGAAGAGGACTATGTTGTTTTTCAGGCACAAAATCTTGCATTGTTTTTGGGATATTTATTGAATGGTTCCAAAGAAAACAAATCGTCGTTGGAGGCACAACACTTGCAGACTCCAAGCCAACTAATGAGTGCATATTTATGCCCACATTTATGCTTTAAGATTTAAATTTTTGATGGGATAATTATGTTTAAATGGTTGATTTTAAATGAATTTGTGATGATTGGAATTGTTGGGTTTGGGAAATAAAGATACTTTAAAAGTGAGTTTTAGCGCATAAATTATTCTTGGATGTTTTAATGTTTATTTGTACAGTTGAGAATATAAGTTTTATTGGTCCAAATGGAAATTCAAGGCCCAAAATCAGATTTTATTCGGAAAATAATATACAAATGGGCCAAACTGACAGACTTTACCCTTGCACCTCCTAAAATTCCTACATACACTCCTATTTCTGAAACAGGCCAACAACCAAGCCCAAACACTAAGCCCTTTCTACTACACCTCCTAAATTTCCCTACCCATACCCCTCCTAAGCCAAACTTCACCAGATCATGCCACGTGGTAGTCCAACACTAACATATTGAACCACTCAGATGATGCCACATCACTGATCCTTGCACTCACTAGTGAACCAGTCAGAACATGCCACCTCAGCCCTAACCCATGAGCATCATCTTCCACCTTCTCCACAGAAACCCTAGCCTCCAATGATGTAAGCTGTCGTTCCGCTTCCGCCGTACCATCCTCATCGCCGGCCAACTTCTTCTCCCTCCTTTCTCGCTGGAAGGCCACGCTCGTCACCACCATGTTGTGCCGCCACCGTGAAACCACGCCGCCATGAAACCGTGGCACTCCTCCTCCTTCATCGCGAGTTCCGCTCCGCCACCAACCTTCATCGCGCCATTAACGGCGAGTTCTTCATCCACCATCGCCGGAGCACTGCACTCCTCCTCCTCTGAAATCATCACCATCACGCCGCAAGATCACCGCCACCTTCCTTCTCCTTCGCGCAAGGGTTCGAAGCCGCCGCAACATTCATCGTCATCGCGCCTCTGTGAGTTCTTCCCGCTGCCACACCGCACGACCACCATCAACACGCGTCAGCCTTCGCCGTGAACCTCCATGGCAACCACCGAGAAACCGCGCCTCCACTGCCTTCGTTATCATCATCGACTTCGCGTCTCCATCGAGCCCAGTTTCCACCATCAGAATCAAGGCACACCTCCAACATCTCGCACCTGCAAAAAGAAAAACTCAGAAAACCAGACGCACAGGGCAAGCTCGAACAAATTCGGAAAGGAGAAGAGAAACACCATTCTTCTCCAACAGCAAGCGGCGCAGGAATTTCCCTTCCCCAATGTTCTGAAACCCTAATTGGATGGGGAGAGTTCTGACACGTGGCACCACCTCATTGGTGCGTCCTCCTCTAGTCAAAGCTGGTCAACAAGCCTTCTCTGCTCAAAGTCTGGTCAACTGAGAGGCTTTCCTGCAATTTCAGAAATTCAGAAGGGGCTAAAGTGCAGATAGGGGAAATTTCAGGGCATTTGTGCAATTTTGAAAAGTTAGGAAAGTTAAAAGATAAAATTCAGTTGTTAAATTAATTTAATTAGAGAATATCAACAGAAAATCTTTCAAATAATGTTATAATTATTCAAATCTTTTAGTTATTTGGAAGATATAAGATAAAAGATTATGTCAACTGAATATTAAGAGTGCAAGCCCAATCAAGCCCTATATAAAGAGACCCAAGGGGGACTTCGCTTAATTCATTCATTCTCTCATACTCCTCTCACTTTTCTTTCATCTTGTATTCAACTCCATTCATGGAGAGCTAAGCATCTAGGGCTATTCTGCTGTAATTCCATGATGGATTCTGAGGTTATGTTTAGTTAATGCAATTGTTTACTTTGGTTATTGATTTAAGTTGTTCTCTCTATGTCTTTCATCTCTCTATCTTGTTAAAAGCAAAGATTTTTGCATCATAATGTGTTTGAATCTACATGCATATTGATTATATGAGTTTTAGGGTTTCTAGGTTTAAATTGAGAATCTACTTTGATTTAATTTAGGAACTTTCATATGATTAAATGATTTTTACTATCAATTGAGAATGTACTTTGATTGATTAGTAATAATTTCAACTATAATCAATTGAGAATTTACTTTGATTGATTAACTTTTAATTTGGTTAGGAGATTTAAGAATAGACATGATTAAACACAATAGAATTTGATTGAGAATGTACTTTGGTTGAATTTATTGTGAATAATCTAGAAAGGTTTTGAATTTGATTGAGAATTTACTTTGGTTAAATGCATGATCGCCCTCAAATTAATTAAGAATGTACTTTAATTAATTTGAAACTTAAACAATAATCAATTGAACAATTATCCGTGAATAACCGATGACGAATCTACCTTGGAAAAGCAGTGGAATTAGCCTATTTCATCGTAATTGTTTTTAAGTTTCTTATTTGTTCTTTAAACATTCTCCAAACATTACTTTCATTAGCATAATTTCTACTTTTATCCATAAGCATTGCATAGCATTCATAAGAGTCAGATATTCAAAAGCAATTCCGTGTTCGTTGGGAGACGACTTAGTGTTACTTTAGCCCTATCTACTTTCTTGAATACTACTTGGCAATACTGAAGTTGCCTTAAAAAGTAGTATTAATTTGATAGCTTCAACGATAGCCTATCACCAACCAAACTTGTAAGTTTGTAATGTTTATTTTTGTAAATATAATATTTTATTGTTTCATTGATATGTTAAATCATTATTTTTTTATTGGACTTTGTTTGTTGTTGGACTTTGTTTGTTGTAGATTTGATTGTGGAGTATTTGTTTTAAAAATTATGGAGTTGTTGGACTTTGTTTGTTGTTTATAGTGTATGTATTGATAGAAGTGGATGATATTTATGTCGTTGAGAGTAACATGAGGTCGTTAGTCTAATAGTCATTTATTAGTCATAGATGTTTGACGAATTAACCTCATAATATGGTAGTTTGTGTGAATGAGTTGTTGTTGTTATTGCACCACCTCCAAGTGTAAAGCCCCTAGACTTCAATATCAATACATGTATCCAAATAGTCAAGTCTAGAGGAAATGATTATATGTCTTAAGATGTATTGATTTATTTGTGTTATACGCCTACTTCTATAAACATGATATATGATTGTTTTTTGTACTTTATCTTACCATTTTCTTCTTTGTGTTTGTTTGCCTATTTGTTTCTTCTTTTCTATAGTGATCACTTTAATAACGGGAGCAAAAGATTATGTCTCTAGTGAGCAAGTGCTACAAGAAGATGGAATTGAAGTATATAGTAAAAAATTTTGTTGCATTTTCCTTGATTTTTGTAAATACATATTACACTACTCTTAATTCAATGTAATCTTTCTTAGTAATCAGGATATTATATATATATATATATATATATATATATATTTTGCTATTATAAGTTATAATTGTAACAACATCTTATATACTTTGTTTGAGTTAAGTGTTTTGTATTATTAAAGATGTAATGAATTCCAATAATAATGAAATACTATGAAAATTAGAATGTTATACTAACTCATTAATTGGCAAAAGAATAATGATACTTTGAAAGATATTATATTTATTTGAAAACATTATAAGGATAAAATCTCATAAAAAATAAACTTTTCTATTTGTAAAAAAAAAGGCTAAGCATATCAAATGAGTATAAAAAAATTATGAATATCATTAGATATGAATTCGTACTTTAGTTCCATGGGAAACTTTTAAAGAATTGGAAAAATCTTACTTGATGTGCTAAATTGTTGAGCGAATGTGGCAAAAATCTGCAAATAAGTGCAATGATAGTTGTAGCTATATTACATGTGCAAATACTTGCTAAAAACACATTTTATCTTAGGAATAATTGATAGCAGCACCTATATGTTATCTCTGTTATCCTAAGAAGAAATCTTAAATACTCAGTGGACTACATGAACAAGTCCAACTTAAGAGGTTCTTCATTATGTACCAAAAAAAGATCCATCATTGAAGATGGAAAATGCAAAAGGAAGAAGACTCTCATTTTGGGGAGAGATGATCACTATTGTCCCTCAAACTCACAATTACAATCTCACCAGTGTCCCTGTAAGAAATGTTGTAGAAGAGTGACAAAAGAAATGAACAAAAAACCTGTGAGAAAACAAACTCAGCTCAGCTTTTTCTTCTCCAGAATCCAGTTGTGGACTCTTCTGACGTATTTCTCATTTATTTTCACATGTAAAAAGCACAGTTTTCTGTAACCCTTCAAAATATACATGTCTATGTATTCTTCGTATCTTTCATAGATTGCTGGTGCTGTAAGAACAATAAAAAGACCTGCCACAACCAAACCACAACAACAACAAAGTCATTTTCCATTCACTTACTACTTAATTTTCAAAAACTGGAGATCAATCAATAGTGAGTTGAATCTATCTTTTGATCACATGATGCTCAGAAACTTACTGGTATATGCCAGGGTAAGGAAATCGGTGAAGCCACCAATAATGGAAATTAGCCAGAGGTATGCAGCTACTTTCAAGAACAGCTTTGAGTCTTTACCAAGGGCAATATCTTGAGAAACTGATAACAAATCATTAACTCTTGTGCGGATAAAAGCTGTCACTTCGTTTGCTATTTCCTCTGACAGATGCAACTGTGGTAGAGGTGGTGCAGGTCTGTCAAAAGAAAAAGTACAGATTAACCTGCTTATATACCTTCTGTCTAACACCATGTGCAATTAATCACTTCTGAAAAACGCAAATTAAATGGAATGTGGATTCTCTGCTGAGTTTGTAGTCTTGTCTCTTTGCCATGCACTTTAAAACATACCGATGTACACTTATTTTAATGTTTTGAAATACTAACATCAGTGTATTTTGGAAACTAGTACAAGAACAACACAAAAAAACTAGCAGAGAATCTGGACTAGACTCGTGAAAAATGACATGTTTGATTTAGTTTTTGAAGTATCAGATCCACGTTTTGAATATGAAAAATGTTTCAATTTGAATGAGTCATGAATTTCCTTTTGACTTGATCTGACGCCAAAAACACAATGATGATTAATGAAAATTAAAAATGGTTTTCAATAGGCACAATCATAATCAAAACTGCAGATAAAATGTGACCCTTTGAACACTACGAGTACAAAAGTGTTCTGCACAGACAAACATACATCACCATATTACAGACAGCATTTAGTTTTCAAACAATTTTTTATATTTCTTAACTACAGCAGCTCAGTTACAGCATACATGTTATACCATTTCAACAAGTAAACCATACCAGCATTTGTCTTTCAAATGCCTTGAATCATATACATTATAAACAATACTTTGAAGAAACAATTCCAGATTAGAACAAATAATCATAATTTGAGCAATCAATGATCTACAACATGCTTTTACATTCTATCACATTTCAGAGTTTAGAAAAGCACACACAAGAAGATCCAAGTGAAGAACATTCAGAAGGATAATTTGCAGAACTGTTACCTGTTGAGAATCGCAGCTGACTTGGCCCAAAGGAAAAGAATGACAATGAGGAGGAGGAAAACATTGGAAACAAGAGACAGAAGAGTATAACCAGATCTTTCAAACACAACCCAAACAGCTAGTGTCACCAACAATATCCCCATCGTTTGGTTCTTCCGTCTCCACAGTATTAAATCTGCAACTGCATTGAACAATGGCATTGATTCAGCAAAGATTCAAAGATCATGATCAATTATGAACTCATTCTGTTCTTCTGGTCCTGACCCTTTTCACATTGGTACCAAAAGCAAACAAAAAATGAAAACAAAGCACAGCCCATAAATCTATGCCACTGTTGAATCAAATAGAACCAAAATGAACATAAACAAAAAACACTGATCAACGCAAATCACCAATAAAGACATTGAATAAAAACTAATCAGAAACGAAAATTTCATACCTTGACCCCCACCAAGGATCTCATGGAGAGTTCTTTGCCGATTGAACAATCGATCTGAGGAACCCATTTTGGGGAGAAGCCAAAGTGAGAAACTTGAACCCAGCAAGGGATCTGTGACCAAAAAAGAAAAGAGCTTTGAGATGATCCACTGAAAAGAAAAAGCAGTGAACATCAACTATGTCTAACTTTTATAATTTTATTCAATTTTCACCTTAGTACTCACTTTTTTGAATTGTATTGTTAGAGTGGACCCAAAATTATCTGTTTTGTAAGGATGATGGAAATTAGAAGCTGGGGCTGGATGTCTCAGATTACAGCCTAAAAGTGAAGTGCCATTCTTTGCTTTTCACTCTCACAGAACAGTGCTCCACTACTTCCAACTCCACCCCCAATCCCCAACACAATACAACAGAAAAAAAAAAACAATAAAGAAATCAAAGAATGATGGATGTTGTGTTGATCTCATTCACTTTCCACTCTAAGCTATCAAATTTACCATCTTCCTTCTTGATCCATCCATTTCATACAAACCATTCTGTTGTCCTGTTCAGTGTAATTTTTCCCTCTCTCTCTCTCATCTCATAGATAGAAACTGATTCTTAGATTACCCACTTGGAGTAGGTGAATTATGAATCCATCAATTTCATCTAACACAAACTTAATCAAGCACTTAGTTTGAAAGATTAACCATATTTTTAATCATTTATTCCTGCTTCCTTTAAAAGCAATTAGGCTCTTTTCCCATTGGCTAATACTTTAAATAAAACAAACAATTATGTAATTAATTCTATTTAATTTAAAATAATTTCAAATCAAACTTGCTGCAGATAAAAATAACTTTCTAATTTTTTACCAATAAAATATACTTCGTGTCATTATAATTTTAATAATAACAGTGATTACATAAAAGTAATAAATGATTTATTGGATATTATGATGATGTAAGTGTTAATGTCAGAGTACTTCAATTCGATTAATAGGAATCAACTTATTATAGGTTGAACTAAAATTAAGTTAATTTAATTTAACTTATTTTTAGGTAAGTAATATTTTTACAATTATATTTTATCTATCTTACTTAACAAGTTAAATAAGTGGATTAATTTAGAGATTTATTATTATTTCAATTTATTTTATGTCATTTGATTGATTATAATAATATAATTAATGTACTCGCTCATTTTATTAAACATTGTTATAAAATAATTATAAAGATAATAAATTAAAATTAAAATATTAATTTATATTATTTGATAAATAAATAAATTAAATTTCCAAATATAAAAATTATTAAACAATATTTTAATATTTTAAAATTTAAATTATCAACTTTCATAACTTCAACTCATGAGTTAAATTATTTATGTTCAATTTCATTCATATATAAAAATCTAAATCCTTTCCAATCCATGAGTTGACTCATATATTTAAACTCTCATTTTTTTTTATATCTTGTGTGTAGATAATTTTAATATGAGTCATTTATATTTTTTATTTTAAATATTATTAATAATTAAAGAATAATGTAGGTGTAGGGTTAAAAGTAGTTTTCAGTATTGACATTTAATAATTATCATCCCACCCAAAATGCTTACCAAGTGTTTACGTTATTAACTATGTATGATAATATGGTTAACTTTGGAAAAAATTAATTTGATTGTGTAATTCTCAAGGAGTTGAATTTTTAACTAGTTTTGAATAATACTTTAACTACTATTGAATATTGCAATTACTTTCTGATATTACGTGTCTGACAAATCTAACTTTGCCTAACTTTGCCTAACTTTGCCATAATTAAATAATTATATTATTCATTCATTTATTAATCACTTGTAAGATTTTTTTAATTATTTTTATATGTATGATTAGAGATATATGTGCCAATCAACAGAACGGAAATCACCGTTTTTTACACATTTCTTTATTCGTCATTTTAATAAAGAATTAAATATATTTATATTCTTTATTTCCAGTTTAAATTAATTATTTTTTGAGATTTTATTTTATTTAGTCTCTTAATTTTAAAAATATATTAATTTAATTTTCTTAACCAAATTTTATTTTTATTTAATATTTTAAATTTGTTTTATAATAGTGTTTAAGTTGTTTAAGACACAATTTTGCTTTCACATTAATTAAAAAATACATTTGAAATCTTAAATAAATTTAATAAAATTAGTTTAAGAAAATTAAATTCACATAATTAAAATTACAATTTAGAATAAAACATATTTAATCTTTTAATAAAATTTAAACTAATAGTCTTTTATATTCCGATATGATTATAGTACATGTAAAAATGTCAGTTTAAGTTTTCATCTTTTCAAAAATTTAAATCACTATCTCTATTTATAATATTCATTATAAAATAGATTAATAACACTTATTTTATATATTTTAAGCGTATTTTTTAAATGATACATGTTTACATTATATTATAATAATATATGTAATTTTGAAAGTATCATTACAACATTTACATAATTACTTAGTATCATTGCCTAATATTAAACATTAAATATAGACATAAGTAATCAATTAGTGTAATATAATATTATAAATTAAAAATAATGTTTTCTAACTGTAAAAGGATGAAAAATAAGGAGTTCTTTTTTTTAGAATCAAAGAAGGAAAAGGTAAATATTTAAATAATTTTGTAACAACATATTCACTATATATGCTAATTTATTTTTATGTTATATCTATAAAATCCAATTAATTATATTTACAAATTTGTTAATCACATGTAAGCCATAGGTGGATGTAGAATTTGTTGATACTCATTATTATTAAAATAAACCTATTTTTTGCTTCTTTTTTTCTTCCTCGCTATATTTAGTCAAAAAGGGAAATTAGAATCGAAAATGAAAACAAAAACCTTACATAAGGTGCAGATGTCTAATCAGTCTTTTGGACTTTTCACCAAATCCAACCGAAAGTTGATGCCGTGAAAAACAATCGATACCAATTTAGTAGATGACTTCGTGTTTTTCTTGCACCTATGCTTTCTTTGGAATATTAAGATATTCGTTCTTATTTGGCTCATTCCATTACGGATTACTTATGTAATGAGTTATTTTAATTCGATTATTAGTTCAAAAAAATTTATATTTGATTATTCAAAGCTAAATAAAGAAAAAAGATCTTTTCTATGATCAATTAAACAAAAGATTTTATTTATATAAACATATCAAAAAATTTCACCCACAAAATTTTTAATGATTTCATAACTATTCAAATTTGTTTTTACATAAATATTGATCTTGAGTTATTAAGTATAGATTTGTGGATTTCTTTATCTTGTCTAAGTATTCCATACAAAAATAATTTTATGAGTCTTCATTTTAATATTTTGTAAAATCGTTAATCTAACAAAAAATATTTATTAGAAAAATTAAGTGACTTCGTGAGTCAACCCAACATGGATTCCGTCTGAGTGAGACAGGTTCAAAATTGACTCGTATCAAAATTTCAATTTTTTTTTCAACTCAACCCGGCTCGAACTCCTAGTGGGTTGAGTTGACACACGAGTTTTAATTCGTTTTAACAGCACTAGATAATACATACTAAAGAGAGAAAAAGGAAAAAAAAATATATTTGAAAACTGATATTGTTTGAAGTAATATAAGTCAAAATTAAATATATATTTATTTTCTACGTTATTATTATTTTAATTAATAATTTTACTATAATAAAAATGTACTGATAAAATTAAAATGGTCTTAATATGAATATCAAACTTGGGATTATCCATTTGATATAAAGGAGAGTTTAATCATTCGGTAGGTCCCATTTTGGGTGAGAATTTCAAATTAGTCATCTTCTTTTTCGGCATCTGAATTGGGTTCTTATTTTATGAAAATTGTAACAATTAGACCCCTGTTGTTAAATTGGACCTAACCGCGTTAATTTATGGTTGACGTGGCATACTGATATTCATTTTTAAATGACGTGCTCATATTATTTACTAATAGGAAAGTCTGACATGGAATTTTGTTTTTCTAAAATTAAAAAAATTGGAAAAAGTTAATTACACAGACTTGGAAATCAAGAGAAATTAGAAATTTGGTTTTAGGGTTCATTTTGGTTTTATTTTTGATGAAGAAATTTGGTTTTATTTTGGTGAAGGAGATTGTGATAATGGATTTCGCAAGTTTAGGGTTTCTGTTTTGCGTGAATTTAGGGGTTTTTCCTGCTTCTTATTTGGGATTCTCTTTCTCTACAGGTTGTGATTATTGTTTGAAAGGGAAAATTGAGGGTTGCGATTGCGGTTTGAACGCGAGGAATGTGGTCGTGCGGCATCACGATTTAGAAGCGATTTGTGGCCATGGAGAGCTCGAATGCGATTTAGGGTTTGAAAGAGTTTTTCGAATTGGGAATTTTTCTGGATTAGAGCTCCTCTGTGTTTGATTTGCAGGTGTAAGGCACGATATGCTTCTGATGAAATTGATTTGGGTTTTTTATGATTAGGTATGGTGGTGCTTCATGGAGGTTGAAGTGCCGCGATGGTGCTCGCGATTTAGGTTGCGCTAATGGAGACTTGTGTGGTGGTTATTTGTGCAAAGAAGATGATGCGTTGAAGGTAGTGGTCAACACAAGAAAGCGCGACATGATTCAAGGTGGCGGTGGCTTGAGGGTTTGGAAGCGCGAGGAAGATGATGCGCGAAGATGGTAGCGACGCGCGAACTTGTTTCGCGTGGAGGTTGCAGCGATGGTGGTCCGGCAAATATGATGGCCAGGGAAAAAAGTGTAACACTACGACAGTGCATATGGTGGCCAGGGCAAAAAGTGTCTTTACTTATATCTTCTTTAAGAAAATAATTTCAGAGGCAGTTCCAGATGTTAAAGTTTTGTTGTATGTGTTAATTTCTTTTGTTGTATGTGTTAATTCCTTCAACCTTGTATTATGATTTTAGATATAATTCCTATATCATCTTCCTCTGAAGAAGAAAATAAAAAGATGAACTTATCTGAACCAACATCAGAAGTTGAGTCCAAGGCAGAAGCATTAATGAGAACAATTTCTAAAATTAATTCCCAATTTGTATGAACCCTAAAATCAAACTTCCTTTTTCCTAATCCCTAATTTGAACAAACTATGCAGTTTAATGTTTAATTCATTTTTACCAATTTCTTTTATTTAAAAAAAAAATCAAAAGACACATCAGAATCACATACATCAAATAAGTCATTCCACGTCATTTAAAAATAAATATCAGCATGTCACGTCAACCATAAATTAACGCGGTTAGGTCCAATTTAACAGCAGGGGTCTAATTGTTGCAATTTTTGCAAAATAAAGACTCAATTGAGATGCTAGAAAAGAAGAGAACCAATTTGAGATTTCCACCCACAAATGAGACCTACCGAATGATTAAACCTATAAAGGAGATATGGATCACCAAGAACAACATCACTTTGGATTAATAACAAATCATAAAATCATCCACGTAAAATACTCACTAAAATATTATTAATAAATTTAAGTTCTCATATATATACACTTTAATGTATGTACCTATTATTTCATCAACAATCTTTATTGATTTGTTAAATTAAATGCTAGTGAGATTAGTTAAATAGAATTGTTAAATTCTATTTGTTAAATTAAATGCTAGTGAGATTAGTTAAATAGAATTGTCCATATAGAA